GAAAAAAAAAAAGGACTTATAGAACCCGAAGGTTATAAAGTGGCAATAGTATAGGTAGAGTAACCCTCAGACTACAGGTGCGTGATTCCCTCTCTTACATTCTAGTAGCAACTGTTCAGTGGGCACAAGCCATAATGACGCAAGGAAATCCACCACCCTGCCTTAAGCCTAGCAAATATCATAAAGTACATACATCTAATGAAACCTAAGCATTCCTATTCCTCCTCTCAGTAGCTTCCCAGTTCTTACCTAGACAGACAGCTTCTGCTCCAACAGACAACTGGGGTTAGCTTTTGATGCGCAAAGACAATCTCCCCTACCAGTCAACACAGGTATTCCTCAAGGCTCCCCCATTTCACCAATCCTCTTCGTATTCTACTTGACAAACTTGTTCAAGGACATGGAGCCAGGAGTTTTAACTCCACAGCTAAGATCCCCCTCCTTTATTGATGATATTGCTTTTATAGTCACAGGCCACACTGAGCAGAGCGACTCCAAGGCATTGGAGGTGGTAGCCAGAAGTGCCTAGAGTTGGGCAGCTAACAATGTAATAGTATTTGATGATCTCAAGACAGAACTGATGAATTTTCACAACAAAACCAATAACCTTACTACCAACTCCCCTGTCACTCTTCCTCATGGCACTATTATCTACCCTTCTTAGTACCTCAGATGGCTAGGAGTTTGGCTTGACAGGAAGCTTTTGTTTAACTTCCATGTTGAGCAGAAGAGAGCAGCAGCAACTAGGGCACTTAACATGATTTCTAGACTATCCAACTCAGAATGGGGTCTCTCAGCCACAGCAATGAGGCAACTATACTATACCTGCATTACCCCAATAGCTGACTATGGAGTAGAGGTCTGGTGGAAAAGTCAAATTGGTCTTGCTAACAAATTACAGAAGTTGCAGGCAGAGGCAAACAGAAGAATACTAGGAGCTTTTAGAACTTCACCTACTGCTGCAATGGAGATTGAAGCAGCCACCCTTCCTGTTTCTTTGAGCCTTGACAGACAGTGAGAGAGACATGCTTACAGAGTTTTACAGATGCTTTCTGACCATGCTATCAGGCAGAGAACACCTAGCTCCTTCTCCAGCACCATGGCATCAGCCCTTGCACCAGACAGACCATGCTCCTTCTCCTCTCAGAGTGGCATATCTTGGACTTCTACCTACAAACAACATAATAGAAAATACTTGTGGGATCCACAGCATGAGCCATATGGCAAGATGCAGGTTGATTGGAGGAAAACTGACTCTGAGCCAGCTAAGTTCCCTACCCAACTAATAAGAGTATTAAATTCACTAAGTTCACACCTGCCTGTAGCACTAGAGGTTGAACAGTGTTACCCATTCCTGCAACCCCCCTGGGATACCCACCTACCTGACACCACCTCCAGACTTGACATTACTATCAGCCAGGAAGACAAAGACACTCCAGCAAAAAGTCATATCACTCTCCTCAACTCCCTCAACCCTTCAGAAAACCTTGTTCTCTATACAGATGGAAGTGAATTGGAGAGTGGAGGAGTAGGAGCAGGAGTGGTGATGCATGTTGGTGGGATTGTTGGGAGATGGAGAGTTGGATTAGGATTTGGGATGAAGGTGTATGATGGGGAATTGGTAGGTATTGCCAGAGGACTCACAGAAGCCAGCAGGTCCAGCCTATCCTTCAAGCACATCTGGGTTTTCACAGACAACCAAGCAGCAATCATCAACTCCCACAGACTCTCTCCCCACCCTGGACAACAAATTTCGCAACAGATTCAACAACTTACAAAAGACCTTCTATCCTCTGACCTGGACTTACAGCTTCATCTCCATTGGGTACCTGGCCACAATGGTATCCAAGGTAATGATGAAGCTGACACTCTGGCAAAACAAGCAGCTGAGTATCCCCAACCTGATATAGACAGTTAGCTCTCACTGACCAAATTGAAGACACAGATAAAGCAGTCTGCCCTTAAAGCATGGCACCAGTACTGGACACAGTTACAACCAGCTAAGCAGGGGGGACATTATAGCTCTATCCACTTCCACCTACCTTCTCTGCATCCTCCACCATACTTCTTTCAACTCTCCAGACCACAACTTGCAACTGTCACTCAACTGAGACTTGGGCATGGCTACTTCAACTCTTATCTTAGCAGATTGGATGTGAATGTCAGTGACAGATGCAGTTGTAGCAAAAGGACACCAGCACCAGAGACACCAGAACACCTGATCCTATACTGCAGCAGATACCAACAGCATAGACACCTTTTAAGATCAGTTTCTCAATACTTCCACCTCCCAGATGTGCTTGGATGTAAAACTGGACTGCTGGCTTTAGGAGATTTTGTGAGAAAGAGTTTGGTTGGAACTAGGAGAGGCCACCTTGGACAAGTGCCAGAGTGTGAGGGCTGTGGCAATGGAAGTAGTGGGGTGGAGGATGAAAGTTGGGAAGAGGAGGATGGAGGACAGGAATATGAATGGGAGGAGACAGAGGTGAAGAGATGGAGAGAATGGAGGATGGCAGCAGGCCAGGTGGAGGTATAGAATGAAATTGGATGGCAGAAGGCCCAGTGAACAGGGGACACAATGATGGAGGAGATGGAATTAGGGACCAGTAGTGGGAATTATTATTAATTATTATTATATCTCATTATCTCGCTTCTGGAGCCAAAGGGTATGAAGCGGCACTACATATATCACGGTACTCTCAAATACCAGGGCTATGGATCCGTCCCTTACTACATGATAGTGTCATCTTTTGGTTGGGCACACCGGCCGAAGCGCAAACAACAAAATAAAGTCACCCTCCCCGCCTAAAGCCTAGCAAATAAAGGACATACAAAGTAACAAAACCTAAGCAGCCCCGCTCCTCGTATCAGTTGCTGCATGGTCTGCATGTAGGTAGGTGGGACAATCCTTAGAGGTAGCCAGGTGATTGTGGCCACAGTTGAGGGAGAGAATAGTGGTGTGAGGGCATGGTTTGCCCTTGGTAGGACAGTCTGACCTTCCGCAAGTGTGGAGGTGGGCTGGGTGTTCCTGAGAACATATCGCATACTCCGCTGCCATTACAACCACAGCGAAAGAAAAAACCAGACCAAATTTTTCACTGAGCTTCCACCTCATTGGCCAACAACCAATTCTCACGGCTTCCCCCACCCCTCTTACAGACTTTTGATCAACAAATCATCCTTTATTATTTGTTTTCCATGACCTCTATCCACTGAGTCGTACTCCTGATGCCTCTGATGCCTCCCAAAGACAAAGGCAGAGCGAGGGGGTCTGCAAATCCTGTTGCACCCCCTTTCAACCCCACCCCAGACCCACCATCGTCCTCCTCACCTGCAGACTACCAGATTGAAGAAGATGCTCCTTCTCCAGTGGACACAGTCCAGCCCCCTGCCTTGCCTGCCCAGCCGACATGTTGTCATGGCTCTGCTCAGTGGTCACCATGGGGTCCTGAGGAACAGCACCGAGACTCCTGGTTTACTGTCAATGAGAGGGTTCTATATCTCAAGAACTCCTTGTAGGTCCTTATCGCTCATCTGAAGGTTGTTCAAAAGCGTCATTTCCAAGATACTGCCAGCTTGAAGGATCAAATCTCCCAGCTCATCACCCAAGTTTCTCAACTTCAACAACAGCTGGTGCAGCAAACAGCCACTACCACCACTACCATGGCCCCACCACAACCACCCCGCCAACAACAACCCTGGGCCCAGAGGATCACCAAACCTCTGCCAATCTGCCCCCTTACCTCTCCACCAAGCAGGGACCCTGAACCTTCTGTTTAGACCAAGCGCGACAGTACTATTGTCATTGCAACAGATGGTACTGCCCTCCCAGATGATACCAACCACCTCCACATCCGCGATGCTGTCCATACAGCTATCAAGAAACAACTTATGTCCAGCATCGAGTTCACGCCTAACCACCATGTCCTCCTCATTACCAAGGATAACACTCCTGCCTCGACTGTCCTCAAGAACCACTCCTTGGTTATTGAGGAACCTGTTTGAGCTACCATTCCTGGTGCCTCTGGCCTCAGAAAAGATGAAGTCTGGCACAAGGTCATCATCCACGGCATCCCCACTACTACCACCTTTTCCACAGTGCAGGCAGAGATTGAATCCTTTAACCCTGGCACCCACCTCCCCCGCCCTCCCAGATGGCTGACCACTGAAGCCCAACGCCAGAACAAAGCTGCATCAGCTGTGGTGCTCACGATTGCAGGCAAAGACCCTACAGACAAAGGCCTCAGCAGAGGCCTGTCACTCTTTGGCAGGAAGGTTAAGGTGCAACGCTACCTTAACTTTGTTCCAGACACAGAATGCTCTAGATGCTTGGAATTCGGTCACCACCCCACCCAATGCAACAAAACCCCCCACTGTGCGATATGTTCTCAGGAACACCCAGCCCACCTCCACGCTTACGGAAGGTCAGACTACCCTACCAAGGGCAAACCATGCCTTCACACCACAATCTACTGCATCAACTTTGGCAACAATCACCTTGCGACCTCTAAGGATTGTCCTATCTACCTACATGTACACCAGGCAGTAACTGATAGGAGGAGCAGGGCTGTTTAGGTTTCATTGCTTTGTATTTCCTTTGTTTGTTAGGCTTCAGGCGGGGAGGAGGATTTATTTGGTTGTTGGCGCTTTGGCCGGGGTGCCCAGCAAAAAGATGACACTATAATGTAGTAACAGACGGATCCATAGCCCAGGCACTTGAGAGTGCCCAGATGTAGGTAGTGGCGCTTCATAGCCTTTGGCTCCATAAGTGAGATACTGAGACATAATAATAAATATATAATAATATGAGAACATATCGCGCAGTGTGGGGTTTTGGTGCATTGGGTTGGCTGGTGGCCAAACTCCAAGTATCTAGAGCATTGAGTGTCAGGACTGAAGGGGAGGTAACGTTGAACCTTAAATTTCCTGCTAAAGAGAGAGAGGCCTCTACTGAGGGCTTTGTCTGTAGGGTCTTTGCCAGCAATCGTGAGAACCATAGCCAATGCAGCTTTGTTCTGGCATTGGGCTTCAGTGGTGAGCCATCTAGGAGGGTGCGGGAGGTGGGTGCCAGGGTTGAAGGCTTCAATCTCTGCCTTGACTGTGGGGAAAGTGGTGGTGGTTGGGATGCCGTGTATGATGACCATGTGCCAGACTTCATCTTTTCTGAGGCCAGAGGCGGCAGGAATGGTAGCTCTAATAGCTTCGTCAATAAGAAAGGGACGGTTTTTCAAGGACAGTGTAGGCCAGAGTGTTATCCTTGTTGATGAGGAGGACATGATGGTTAGGCATGAACTCAATGGTGGAGATAAGTTGTTTTTTGATAGCTGTGTTAACCGCGTCGCCAATGTGGAGGTGATTGGTGTCATCTGGGAGGGGAGTGCCCTCTCTTTCAATACCAATGCTACGGTCGCGTTAGGTCAAAACTTCACCTGGTGGAGTCTGGTTTGGTGTGGTTGTAGAGGGGCGGGCAGGGAGTGTTTTGGCTTTCCTCTGGGCCCCGGTTTGCTGAGGTGGGGGGTTTGGTAGTGTAGGGGGTGGGGGAGCGGGGGTCGGGGCTTGCTGTTGGAGCTGTTCTTGTAGGTGTGAAACTTGTTGGTTGAGCTTGTCAATTTGCCCTTTCAAGACTGCAGTGTCACTGATGTGTCTTTGCTGGACAATGCTGAGGTGGTTGATAAGTGATTGGAAGGAGTCCTCAACATAGCGGACTTGTAGTTTGGTGCAGAGGTTGGTGTCTCTGTTAGGATTGTTTTGTTCCCATGTGGACCACTGAGCACAGCCAGGTGTGGCTTGGTTTGGAGCGGCAGGGGGCAGCACTGTATCCACAGGAGAAGGAATGTCTTCATCCATTTGGGTGTCTCCAGGGGTGCTTGGAGCGGGGGTACTCTGGTGGGATTGAAATGGGTGTGCCAAGGGGTTGGCAGCACCCCTGCCTCTGCCTCTAGCCCGTGGAGGCATCAGAGGTGATGGGAGAAGGACTCAGTTGATAAAAGGTGATGGGAAACAAATAATAGAAGATGATTTGTTGATGAAAAGTCTGTAGAATCGGTGGGGAAGTGTGAAGATTTGGCTGTGGACTAAGAGGTGGGGGCTCCGCGAAAAACTTGGTGTGGTTTTTTCTTTCGCTGTGGTTGTAATGGCAACGGAGTCTGACCCCCAGGGTGCTACTGACTTTGATAGTAAGTGCATGATGTTCAAAGAAGCCATGTTCCCTAATCCACCTGAAAGCAAGATGGCGTTCAGGCATCAGGACATAGAAATAGATAAGGGCTTTCCCTGGTATTATATTACTGACACTGAGGCGAAAGATACAATCATCAAATCTGCACCTCACAAAGCTCCAGGACCTGATTGTATTAACTTTCTTTGTCTGAGGCAAGTGTATCATGCATTTCCTATTCCTCTTGTTAAGTTGTTTCAAATGGTACTGAAGACAGGTTATCATCCACAATGCTAGAGAGAGGCAACTGGAGCTATAATCAGAAAGCCTAACAAACCAGACTACACTACCCCCAAAGCTTATAGACCTGTCTCTCTGCAAATCTTGTTAGGAAAGATTTCACAAAAGATTATGGCCAACAGACTAGCTTACATTGCCGAAACTAAAGGCCTTCTTCACTCAGAGCAAATCGTAGGAAGGAAAGGAAGAAGTGCAGTGGATGCAGTAATGGTATTAACACATGATATTCAGCAGGCTAAGTTGAATGGTAAAGTCCTTTCTGCCCTCTTTGTTGATGTTAAAGGTGCATTTGACCATGA